GGGGGGGGGATTTCTGAAATCATCATAAATGAAAAAAGTGACCCACCCTTCATGCTACACATTATTACTAGCGGCCCACCCTCTGTAGAACGCATAAAAAATGATGGCCCACCCCTATATTTCCATCTCCAATATTTTTAGCTAAATGTTCCAAAATAGAGTACAAACACTACAAGTTTCACACTACAATCTTTTGGACAAATTTCGAAAAGTACTATCAAAGTATTATYGTTAATACTTTTTTTTTTCAATTGTTGTAATGTGGGTTTTTTTATTAAAAAAGGTTTTTATATCATCATGTTTAACATTCTTTTGTGTGTCAGTAAGTTATCTGAACCCTACAAGATGGAATTATCTTTTTGCATAATAACCCATGGCCCACTCCTAATGTTCTGCATAAAGTTTCATGACTCACCCTCTTTTTTCTGCTTGAAAATGATGCCCCCCCCCCCCCTTTTTTTCCAGCCCTATACTTTATGACCAGTCCCTTATTTAGAACGAAGGGTTATCATGTTGGCATCATGCATGTATACGAAGAGGACGATCGCGAATGGTCATCACTGTCTGGATAGTTGCAGGGCACAGCCATCACCAATCAAATTTATACTCTCTCGAGTAACTCTGATAATTATTATGATGTGGTTATATCACGATAATGTTTTGCACGTGTGGAATCTGCTTCACAACCATATTCTTGAACACACACAACACACAAACAGTACCAGCAAGGYATCTAATTTAAACCAAGTATTCTAGTGTGAATGTCATTCAAATAGGGTTATTCATTTTAACTTATCTTGACAAGTACGTCCACCAAAACTTGATTTCAACAGGGTTAATTAATGGAGAGGACCTTTATCTTCCCCTCTATTAATTCTGGTTCCAATGTGTTTGATAAGAACCTCATTGGTATGCATCCCATATAAAAGGCAGCAACGGCAACCAACATTCCAGTATTAAAAATGATTGTCACGGTTTGAGCGTTATCTAAACCTATTTTCCATACACATTTGCTTTATACATTATTTTTTTAAATTGCTTTCCTTATATAGCTTTGTGGACATCTGCATTTGTATTTGGATACTTTTTCAGTAGGATTGCAATTGAGTTACTTTTGGGGACTGGTCATTATCTATAGCCTGGTGGATCACATTAAAGCTTTACTTATATAGCTTCATGGGCATCTGCATTTGTATTTGGATACTTTTTCAGTAGGATTGCAATTTAGTTACATTTGGGGAGTGTTCATTATCTATAGCCTGGGGGATCACATTAATGCCCGGTCCCTTAAGTGAAAGTACCACATATGTGAACCAGGTTTTATGTTATCAATCATGCTAAGTTAAAGTTTCATGTTAATGTTTCTAAGCATTTTCGGAAACTCACCAAAGATCACTTGCTTTTGTAATGGGTTTCATCCGAATCACTTCAGGAGCTGAAACGAAATCAAATATAAGCAAATCACTTTCGCTATGTTACTACAACGTTCCTAGCAACATGACCCTTATTAGTTATTCCAATTTCAGTGGGAATTAATTTCGTCAAGTTGGAAACGCTTCCGCCTCTTCCGCTTCAGTTGATATCGCTTGAGATATCGTGGAGTATTTGCTGATCGTTCAGTTACGTATTATGAAGCACATAACAGAAAAAACTCGAATCCAACTGGTAAAGTTTAACAAAAAGAAGGGTTGCCATAAAAGGCATTTCGATCAAGAAAATGGATTCATGAGCTACCAAAAACAAAACAAAAAAACAAAAAAAACGCTGTGATAGTATAAGAACAAAACTAATCTGAATCTAATTCAATTTCAAAATGRCTTAAGAAATATAATTACAGTTCCTGAAGCATAACAAAAATGCTAAAAATATTGCTTAAAAAATAACGTTTTACGTACCAACAAAATCGGGGGTTCCGTACGAAGATTTGACATCTTCATCCTCTTTCAGTTGTTGTGCCAAACCAAAGTCGACCAGCTTGATGTTCATAGAGTCTTTGCTGACACAAAGAATGTTTTCTGGCTGTCAATTCAAACCAAAAAATATGTGAATGAGCATCAAGAAGTGTATCGATACGGCATCAATTTGGCAAATCGGAAAAACAGTTGAAAACAGTTGTTTTGTACCATAAAGATGGACTAAAGCAAGAGAGCATAAATAAGAGAGGGAAACTTCTTAATAACGCGCGCGCCATGTAAATTCCTGGGTATGGATACCTGGGCCAGGTTGTACGAAACCTGGATATCGCTATCCGGTGGATAAATCCTTATCCAATGGATAAGTCGATGCTGTTATCCAATAAATTTATCCACTGGATAAGATTTATCCGTCGGATAGCGCTATCTAGGCTTCGTACAACTGGGCCCTGGTTGGGCTATTTTTGGTAACCGGATACAGTTTACAGTTTCGCCTTACCCAACTCCCGTGCGTCATCAATTTGCGCACGCCCTCTTTCCGCGATCATAAATTAAATTGTTTGATGGCCTTGGGTCACGTGACCCAATTGTGCAAATSACCTATTTTTAACAAAAATATATCTCACCTTAAGGTCCAAGTGTACTATATTTTTGCTGTGCATGTACTTTAATCCTTGCAGTACTTGATGAACATAATCTATAGCATCTTCCTCCATCAGGTAGTCTTCCTCTACGATTCTCTCAAATAACTCACCTCCAGATACACTGCCAGAGAAGAACGTTAAAGTTACTTATAAGATTCACTTAATATTTTCAAAAGATAACACCAATTGAAATGACGCGATAGAGAATTTTATCTTCTCGCAAATAAAGAACATTTTTATAGGGAAGTTCCTTGTATCTACCCTCCATTTTTTACAATATTGTCAGATATGTTATCTTTTTGTTTAATTGTTTGATTGATTGATGTTTCGCCTGCAGAGATGCGGGGGAGTAAGGTTTATGATGAAGTCGGAAGATAGTATACGAAACAGGGTGGCCGGAGTGAACGTGTTTCAAAAATGGTTATTGAATGTTTTGTTGCATGTTACATGCTGTTTACCAAGTTTGGAATGTATTATATTCATTTAAAAAATAGATCAGGCTTAGCTATGTTTTGTTCTCTGATAAAACATGACTGGAGCTGTAGGACACGACAAAAGTTATATAAATCACGAGTCGTAGGCGTAACTTTTTGCATGTCCTACAGCTTCAGGAGTTTACATTCCCATAATTCATTTCGTACTTGGTATTTTAAAATGCAACATGCAACAAAATCTTCACACCATCCTTTCTTGAAATAGCTTTATCCAGCTGCTCGATTGCATAGGTTAACATAAATGATCGAACTGAAGTTTGAAAAACGAAGGGTCCCCTTACAAAGATTTTCCATAAGATTATTACTTACAGTTCTAGAATCATAACGATTTCAAACGGCGTGTGATAGGCGTCCAGTAAAGCCACTAACTTTTCGTGAGATTCAAGTTTAATCATCAGTTCAATTTCTCGCATTGTTTCTTTCCGCACTTTAGAATTCGACGTCTTTACGATCTTTGCAGCACATTCTTGCTTCGTACGCTTGTCGATACACTTTTTAACGATTCCATATGCTCCTCTAGGAATAAGAATTGCAAAAACGGGAATTACACAAGAATCATTGGCAAGGACGAGAATAAGAGGATTGGTTAATGATAAGAAGTAGCGTCTACTTGTGATGGTCTCTTAAATTGAATGCTTTTATGATTTTAACATAATGCAAGGGCGGATCCAGGGTTTTTTGAAGGGGGGGTCTCGGGGGTAAATTTTGTAGGCAAAGGAATCCCAGTCGCATTTTTACCACAGGAAGCCCATTTGACCTCAGGAATGACAGGGGGGTCGCGACCCCCCCGACCTTCCCCCTGGATCCGCCCTTGTAATGGTGAGGGTGATTGATGCTGGTGGTGGTGATAATGATGATCGATGGCGGTGATGATGAAGATGATGATGATGATGATGATGGTTTTGACGGACAAAGGATCGAAAAAAGAGCCGGAGAGTGACTTTTGTGTGATGTTTTGACTCACATAAAGATGAGCTGTCTATTATGTTTAAAAAAAGAAGGTGCAAAGTTTATATCGCAGAAACAGTGATTACGAAGGCCGTCCCAATGAAAACCTCTACGGGAATTCGGGAATTTATTAGCATACATGCTGTCCAAAGGAGGGCCATGTTTTGCACTAAATTAAAAATCTAATTAAGTAAATTTATATTTAAAAAGCGGCCAACCTTATTTTGGTAGGCAGCTGTCCTGTAAAAGTCCTAATTTATAGCTCCACGAAGCTCTACCGACCACTCGCCAATCCCCCTAGAGTAGCAGCGTAATACAGAATGTGTAGAAGTTGTATTGTATTTCAAAACCTTGGTGTGCGATATTGGGCCATGTAGTCGATCATGAATCTTTTAGAACAATGTTTATATGTTTAAAACCTCATCAATATTTTTTGATTTTCAGTCTACTTCACAGCGCCTGAAGTCTACATTATCAAAGTAGTTGCATCCCGCAGTAATTGGCTTGGTACATCAATTAAGAGCAGATGTTCACTAATATCAAGCAAAATCGAGTGTAAAATAATGGTTTTAGCTATTTATTGAAAGCGGTCAGATGATATCCATTATTTTATACCCAAGTCTCGAACATCTCTTCTATCAATGTATAAACATATATAGTTTTCATATCTTTTTCCTATTCTGTATGCTTTAGCTGTTTTTGGGCCTGTTTGATTCAACTGAAAATTTGCGTACTTTTGAAGTCGCCGCTAGGCCAACAGTTTTTCTCGGATTTCTCAGATTTTTAGCGGTTTTTTGAAAAACTAACTACACCACGTTTGTTTACTCGGTAATACCTTCCGTCAAACCAAAAATGAGCAAAATCGAAATTTTGACTGTGACCGGCCAATGCCCGATATTAGTGGACCTTCGCGAGCAACTCTTCCTATTTTATCCAGTTCTGAGTTAAAATCATCTTTGCACAATATCTTTCCACGCTTTGAATTTGTTCCTCGATTATTCAAGGGTCCATTCATTTTTTCTTTTTTCTTTTCGCGTTTTATTTGTCCAAAATGTAAGGGATAGTTGAAACTTGGTAACTAACTAARATGGGCTCCGTGAAATTGCTATATCTATCTATCAAAGAACATCTACATTGAAGAGGTGCAAATGATGTTTTTCATACTCTGCCGAAGGTCTCTCATCCGAAACAAGTACAAAATCGGGTTCAAAGTCGAGTTTAAAATCACAAAACTCTCACACACATGCATTATCCAGGGATTAGCGAAAACCTCACTTCTTGTACTGACAGAGAAATATATAGTAAAAGGTAAAAATGACAGTAGAAGAAGTCCCAGGACCATCACCATGGTAATAAGAGAACGCTTGTACTTCCAAACGTTGAAATCAGATGTTGATTGGTTTGTTGGAGGCTGTGCTGCGACATTTTCTACTTGTGAATACAATTTCTTCAAAAGGTAAAAGCAAGAGACATACAATGCTGTTATGGTCAGCAGAAAAATGGCCAAAACTGCCATGACTATTTTGGTGTTATCATCGGATTCATTGCCTTTGTCGAAATTTCGAAGTATTACCATGAAAGTTCCAGGAACTGTCCACAACACGATGATAAAGATTATAGTTYTTTTCTTGGTCATGATTGACTTGTAATTGTGCTTGGTTTTGATAGCGAGATAACGGTCAACCGCAATCACAAGTAGATTAGTCAAGGAAACGATAGCAAGGCCATAACCAAGTCGTGAGGTTACCAGAGATACTCTGGCACGCACTTCAAATAGTTTCACTAAGGCCAACAAATGATAAGTGATAGCTGCGGGCTGTAAAACAGCTCCAACTAGAAGATCAGTCAGTGCAACACTACAGAGAAGAAGCCTTGAGGGTGTTTGTAATAAAGGGGTCTTCCAGATTGTGAAGATGACAAGACCGTTGAGAATGGTGGCAGTAAATGCTGTAATTAAATAAAATACAATCAGAGGGATTACGAAGTCGCGGGTTTTGCTCAGATCATCTTTTTCTGGAGTCATTCTGCTTCTATTCAAATTCTTAACCAATTCAACGTTATCCTTGATCTTTAAATCACAATTTCAGCGGTTACAGTCACTTTTTCCTTAACTTCCATTCTGACATTGTTCTGCTTCCAATCAAACTCTGACTTAAGGACCTTATACAATTTTTCTGTCTTTTCACATCCGTTATACTTGACCAGAATCCTCCAGTCAATATACCATCAAAATTCTAATTCTCCTGATCCGTTTTTATCAGTAGTCTTCCTTCTTTGTAACGGTTATTGAGCAGGCCTTCAATTGAAGTTTAAAGTGTGTTTGTTAGCCTTTCAATGTATGGGTGATTCACGTCACGTTCACCTTTATTGGATGTTTTTAATCAAGTTTAAAATTTCCAGGTGTTCATTTCKTCTTGCCAGCTTTAATAAACTCATATGATAGAGCACTTCAGAGTCAACAAATAAACACATCGATCCTTTTGGATGAAGGTGGTGGTGGGGGTGGTGNGGGTGGGGGTGGCGGCGGCGGCGGCGGCGGTGTATGAAAAGGATTGTGGTAGTGATGGTGGCGATGATGCTGGTGATGATAATGACTACAGTTAAGGACTCTTTACCATATGAACGCAGTACGTACTATCCTATAGTAGTTTAGACAACGGCATTTGGATGATCATTCATATTTATTCAAGTAGTGGTTTTGCCGGTAACGTAAAGGAAGATTATATAATCATCGGTTGTTACTCAAACAAACTATCTTATTCCTAAGAATTTCGAAATCTCAAAAGCGTAAGCTGAAATGAAAAAGTCATTTCAATATGGTCCTTCCAAAACTTATTAAATAAAAAAACTCATTAAATAGTGTTTAGTTCTTATTAATCTTATTCAAGATTTAAAAAGATGACAATTAAAATATATTATATAAATATAAAATATATAATTAAAATATATACAAGTTTGTATATATTTTAATTAAAATCAGTTGGACGATTGATTTATAGGCTGCCACGTAAAGCCATAAATTCTGTATTCAAACATTCCCCAAACTACTCAGCTAAGGAGTGATTCTTTAAATTTAAAATAAATGACTTACTTTCCTATCTCTTCTTCTAGATCATAAAACTCATCAGCAGATCCATATTTGGGCAATGGTTCGTCTTGTTTTTCTTCACTTTCTTCAGTAACATCTTTTTGCCGTAATAGCAGCTCATTAATATCTGACACGTCTAGACCTGTACCATTCATAACACAACTGTTAGGAAGGTATTTGAAGGGCAAATAACATTCATACTTTCTAATATCACTTCCATGCTCTCTGCGACATATATACGTCATTATTGACGACATTTATCGTCAGTAAGTAAAATGAACCTCCAGAAAAAATTTCAACATCTCATCTAAGTTATTCTTGTTTAATTTTGGTGCTACAAATTTGACTAGGCATTAAATGAATCCTTATTTCTTTGTGAATCATACACCATAGTCCAAAATGGCGCACGTCCAAGTGTCTTACATGAAAACGAGGCATCCAGGGCCAAATGCAAAGAAATAATATTGTGTHAATGCAAAGATACACTTKTTCACTTGTTCTGTCTTTCTTTTCTTCTTACATTCRAGAACGCGACAATTTTGCAGCATCAAATTATAAGAAAATATTGTAAATTTGTAAATTTGGCCCAGGATGCCTCGTTTTGGATTTAACTGTATTGTAAAAATGCATTTGGTAATTAAACTTATTCCCTGTTTTCTATACACCTGTTGTCTTAGCTAATCAATCCCCGTGTGTTAATTGAGCCATAAAGGGAATCGAAGTATCTGTTCAGTGAGTTTAGCCTTCTTGTCTATATACAATTTATGATTTCTAACCTGGATTTATGAAGGTTTGTTGTGCAAAACATGTGGAAATGGTTTGTCGGTTCGTTTTTTTAAAGGAAATATTTTTTTTGTRTATGATAGAAACGAAATCCTAAAGTAAAAGCGCTTCGATTTGGGTATTTTAAGCTTCATTCTTTATTATCCAAAGACATATGTGCTCAGCATTTAAGCATCGTACAATGCTTCACGAGACTAAGAGYTTCCTTACACACTTAAGGTCAATAATGCGAGATTGTGTTACTCATGTAGTAATAAGGACATTTTCCCCAATGTATAAGAAAAATCCAGCATCTGGGGATCCGCAGTCGGAATTCAATACACTCTTATCAAACTGTGACAAAGAAAAGAATGCACCGCGCTTGGCAAATGTTCTTAAGTTCTCGTCCGATGTCATCGTCGCATTCACTGATCTTTCTTTTCAAGAAAATAATCCTCTGTTTTTAGATGCATTCAAGGCTTTTGAAATATTACAGCTCGACAATAAGCATGTTATATATCCACAACTTGAATAAAGAGCCAATTTTAAAACAACATATTTCATACAGAATTCTTATGGTTTCATTTTCAGACACAAGCTTAGGTTAATGTGTCCATCTCCTTGCGCCTAGTAATCTGTAGTCAAAACGAATAAGCTTATTTAATTGCAAAGCTAAGCCTTTGGTACAAGAGGTCGGTAGGAAAGTAGTCAAGGTGAGCGTTTCATTTCAGCAATTTGATAGTGCACACTCGAAAGGTACCCCGTCAATTCGACCCAATTGTCTAACTGTTCGGRAAGATAAAGATAGCGAGCTTTGTCATATAATTTTGAAGATAACTTTGTTTTGTTTGTGCAGGAACTAATTTTAGAGGGATGAGAAATGAAGCCGACGTCTAAATCAAGCCAAGAAAAACAAAAAGCAGTGACTGATCTCTGATCAAACATACATTCCAATCAAATTCCTTCGCAAGTGGAACATCTTTCCTACAGACTTAAATCTGTTAGCCTATTCCTAGGCTCTGATTCATGACAAAATCTGTATGTTTGTGGCTTACAAAGTGTGCATCGATAGTAAAAACGTACTGAGGGTTAAGCCCTTGATGATACTTACCGTTGTTGTTTCTTCTTGGTCGTTCCATTGCATCGAAACGAATCCTGCAACAGAGCAAAGACAGTCAGTGATAGGTCTGGCTGAATTGAAAGGATCACAGCTCTCATGCACAGGATYATTACTTTAGCCTGATCACGATGTGGTGGTCAGCCTGTCGGATTTTAACGTGATGAATCAAAGACTCTGCAACGTTGTACATGATGCACAGATGCAGTGATCCCCTATCTCATAGACAGATCTCCACAGCTATTCCACGAAGGTCTGATTTAAGACACTTTGTCTTATTGGATGATATCCTTAGCTTGCTGGTATCTTAGCAAGTATCTAAACGTTTGGGCGTTGATAAAATCCCGCTATGTAAACACCAAACACGCGAACCCATGACAATTTGGAAAGATGGAGTCAGGTATATACCGGTGCTTCTCAGGTCTTGACGTCACGAAAAGAAGACGTTGTCCGATGAAAAAAGGGGTCACCAAATGACACAGGGCAATTTGAGTAGTGTTAGTACTAATACTATGAGCATTGCAATATGTTATGATATTTAGCRCAGCAAACAATTTATAACACCAAGGAAAGCAAAGAGCTAGAGGAAAAAATAGAAAAAAGACAGTTTTGTTTTTATAGTTGTTTCCTTTCATTGTACTGTTACTGTGCTTGTGTTACTACTCTTTTATTTCTTACAAGTGTATTCAAACTAGTGAATCTGTTAGCATGGCCCGTCTTATGTTTTACGAGCATCACTCCAGGCATAGGGCTCGTCTTAGCCTTCACCTCTAGGCAGGCTAGGCTCGTCTGTGAGGTAATTCGCTCCATACACGCTGCTCACATGTTGATTTTAYGGAAGGAGGTAAAACGGGCCAGGGCTACTTTAATCGATCAAACCATATTTTGTTGCAGAAATTTATCTTTAATCCGTTAATACTACTTACATACATACTTTATTTCTCTATGTAGGTCATTAAAAGGCAACTAAACAAAGCTGATGTAGAAACTACAACGTTAACCTCTTTCGTGTTCAACCAATTCACGTCATCGCCTTGAAGTGCTTCGTGTTTTCTCGAGTGTAATTCGATATACATTCTTCGTGAAGTCTTTTAAACTTCTTAAATAATTTCTCACGATATCATTTAGGTCTGAAAATCAACGATAAGCAAATAAAAAGCAATTATCAATTAAATTATTATGTAGAGGAAAATATTTTAATAGAAACGCCAAAACAATCTAGGCATGCAAGTGAAGTCATAGTCTCCATGTTGGATGAATTATTAAATGAGTCGTAAGACCTGTCTTTCATGTTCAGTCCCCCATCATGGCAGTCACGTCTTTCGTCGTTGCGACTCTCTTTTTAAAGCTAAGAATTTCTAACAGATTAAAGATTGTAAACTGGAAGCACCTTGGCTCGGCTGATAAAGAGAAAAAGAGAGTTCGAGAAAGGAAATGACGCATTATCCATTCAAGATAGCGAGTTCGCTTTAGTTAATTAATTTTCATGTGTTAAAGGAACCAACAGATACTGGAATGGCAATTTTGTTCCTATTCTTGGTCATTTGCTTCTCTGRATTTCGAGTTAGATTTGATTATACGAGGTTTCAAGTATTCAAAGTCAGTCTAAAGTCGAACTAAACGCTTAAGCACATAAAAGAAAATTGAATGAACTGTCAATATAAATGAAAAACATTGACGTAAAAAAGAAGGCTTTATTACTTTCTGGCAAGAGATTTAAAATGGATTAATATGATTACAAAGGACCAGTATGATATGCTTAAAAGTAAGTCGCAAAGTGCAAATAAAGAAATAAAAAAATTAAAGCAAARGATCTCTGCAGAAAAGAAAAATTACAGAGCAAGGTAATTAGCAAATTGAAATTTAATAAAGTATCACTGTGATAGTTTACTAGATTCCCTACTGATGAAAGATCTATCGATGTAGCAAAAAAAACAAAAGAAGACTTAAAAGAAATTACTTTATCAGCGGGGAACTGATTATTAATAACGATTTGGCCTGCAGGTTGTTACACACAGCAACTTTGGTAATCTCCGTTTTAGATCGTCTAAATGAAATGAAGGCATTGCTTGAGGCTCTTTATCGGCTATTACTGCTTTAAACAGTAAATGTGACACTAACCGTGACATGTTTGAGGATCAGTTTGAAGTTTGACGAGTTTTACCATCAATACCTTCAAACAAGTTGTCATGACAAATCACTTGCTCTTATACCTTCGAACCACTTTCTCCATCATGATTTTGACTCGTAGCGAAACAAGCATTAATGACTTACATCTAAATAGACTAAGCTTTGGCTATGAGCTGAACTCTTTTGGATTATGTAATTAGGCCGCGACATCTGATACCTTTTGCATCACATTTAATTTACCTTTATGCTGATTACTTTACGGTTGTTGGTCAAACTAGAGTTTATGATCCCAAGTAAGATTTCCTAAGGCCAAAGTATTCCAACACATTTCTCAACGACTCTAAAATAACATCTTGGTGCTCATGAAAAATGTACAAAAGAGTAATACAATATTGGCTACAACGGAACAAGCAATTGGCAAAAACAAACAAAATCAGCCAAAATTTTGATGGACCCGCGTGCTGTTTCTTTCAGTTATGAACAAAGCCTTGCATGGTGCCAAAAACTACGAACTCAATCCTGCGATGAACCTCAAAATCTTTTGCCAGATTTTTGGCACCAGTGTAGAAAGTTTGTCATTCAGTATATTACATTTTATGGTGCAACCTTTTGGTTCCCTAGGAATGCTCAATAGGGTAAACAGCAAACGTTCTGCTAAACATTTTCCAAGAAGAACTCATCAAATAAGAGGTTTGCGTACTAACCTAGCTAGAATGGTTGAAACATCCGTACCATCCAACAAAACCTTATGTTATAAATCCACTGTTTCTTTATGCAGCAAGGCTCGTTTCTACCTTTTCGAACAGGTCACACACGCAAGGATCTCGTCTTTCGTGTTCGTTGAATAATCCGTACAGAATTAATTGCCAAACTCAATTGATGAATAGTAATTAGAAGTGCAGTTGACGTCAACGTTGAATTGTATTTAACAACACTTTATTCGCAAACGCATTACCATTGTAAACACGGGACCAGCAGCCTTCGTGATTACGCCTGGGGACACAAAAGCAAGCTGACTGGTCTGGTGACAGCTAACTGTTTAATCTTGTCGTGAGGGCTAGTATCTCTCTCGGTCGGATGATAACCATCCCATGTAAGCCTAGCAACTATCAATCGATTTTCCAATCATGATTATTTTCTCTTTGATGTTATGACTCTCGGGTTTTCGTCAGTGTATTTTTTACGCACCTTCGATGCCTTCTATTTTTAGACTATAAAGATGTCTTAAAAGGTTTTTCACTTCTGTTACTTATCCCACGCATTGTAAATATCTACAAGTGAAGAGTCATACGACTTTTGTACGCTAAAATCACACGTATGAGCCAAGGACGAACGCCAGAGCTAAGGAACTAGAATTGGTCCCAGCGCCGACCTTAATTAAACAGATAGTGAGACCTGTCGTCGTGTTATCGATGTGTCTTTGACGGCCAGAAAGTCAAAACCAAAATTAGCTTAACAAAACAAAGAGAAAGGTAAACGTAATCATAAATAGCCCAAAATAAGAAAGCTAGGGATAGAGGATACGGAGATTTGTTGACTCATTGGACTATTAGAGGATTAGACTAGGCATCAGTTTAGATTGGTTTGGCCTTAGCTTGATTTAAAGTTCGCTAGAAAGCCGCAAAAACCTAGCTGACTTTTCGCAACAATTGAAACGAGTTAATTGAAAATATTTGATATTTATGTTTTGTGAATTATCACAAAAAATTTCCTTTTTTTTTTTCTTTCAATTTTTGCTGGCTACTACAAAACTGAAAATGAAACAAGCCCACGAGACCTATTATATACATGCACACATGCATCAATTGTTTCCTTGCCTTTACCTTTTTTTTAATAGTTTTTTTCCCCTTTTATTGTTGGTTTTCTGAATTACATGACATCAGAACGTCTACCTTAGCGATTCTTGTTGCACCAATCACGATGCGCAAATTCATTAGTCATCCAATCAGGTACGGTGCTGTCTCGTTCACGGTCACAGTCACGGCAAGGCAGCATGGCACGTGAGTGCATTTTTAAATTTCTGACAGCTTCGTATACCATTTATTTTAGAAAATCCAACATACTTTATAATGCGCAGCATATAAACACTTTCATTGAAGCAGAAAACGGAAAACATTTAACAGCTCTTAGACTATAGAGGAAGTCTTTCGAAAGACACCTCCAGAATTTGATTTAAAAACAGATCAGCCGCCCTCTGTGTTTTAAAATAGCTTCACGATAACCCGGCAGAAGKTAAATATAGCCAGAAATCTTGAGCAGAATCAGCGATGGATTGAGTACATTACAAGGACTAGCACCAAGACCGGCGCACGTACGCAATCGAGTTCGTATAGTAAGGGAGAGCTTTTTCTTGACTTGTGCTAAGCAAGCGATTTGTTTTAGAATTGATAATACGCGCTGTTTAAACTATTTGTACATTTATCCTAATACTAATTAGATTTGATTATAAGTACATTGTCACTATAGGAAGCACGTCGAAGGAAGGTAATCTGCAGATATATAGATATACATATATCCGCGTTAAAAGAGATTTTGTAATAAGTAAACATATTTTGCTTGTGCGTTCTCGTTGTTTATCTGWGTAGCTGTACTCATGTGTACTCGATTTAAAGCAAATCCGAGGACTACGATTAAGCCTTTTTGTCGATCTAAACGACAGCTGGAATAATGTAGTACCCCTATACAGGAATGATGCAGTCACAGGAGCCGGCACAACGGTACCTAAATAGGGCTTCCCTTCATTCAGTGCAAAAATAGATTTGTTAAGCTATCAATCGCTAATTGGCTTTGGATCAGCGCATGTTTACACGTAGCAGGTTCTCTGTAGCACGATCATAATACACATACACATAAACATGTGTTGTGTATTTGTTGACAGTACAACGGAGCTCTGTGTGCGTAAGTCCTTTTGTGTCAAACGGGAAGTGATTGTTGATGAGTGTATAAGGTGATAAACAGACCTTGCATTGGCTCTGTTACTCACGTAAATATTGTAACACCTTATGAGGAAGGTCTCTTGGTCAAAATTACACGAACTAGAATGAGATAAAAAATAGAGACAGAGTAATCGGAGAAAAAACGACGAAAGAGGAATTATTTTTAGCGAAGTAACCTAACAGCAGCGAATCAAGTGATTTTATAGTACGTGCCTTGCAGAGATAAGCTACTATTGTGAGCTTTACTGAAATATCCCGGAGAGATACTATCTTAAGCTAATCACTCCGTCACTCGTAGAGGATGTAGGAAAACATTCTGTTTACTTACGTAGATGAGAAAACTAATGTAAGATATGACGAAAATAGAAGCCGTCATGGTGCTCTAGTGTTCTTTCACGCAAAGAGACGTGCCGGACTTGTTTAGGGAATTAACTTCCTATGGATGATTATTTTAGTCAGTCGGTTCTCTATGTTATTATATTACTCTTCCAAGCAGCAGTTTGGATTATCACAGCCCTGATCACAGTGTGGATCAGGGATTGATTTATTCACAGGATTTGTTACATATAACTACTAATCTAAATGAAATTAATAGTGGTATTAGCCCAATTTCATAAGCAAAAAAAAGATATATCGGAGTGCTAATAATGAGGCACTTTCGTGTATTACATATATATACATATCTATATATATACAAAAACTTGAATATAGATGGTAGATCAACGATGAACTTCYAGTAGAAGGATTCCAAAGAATTCAACAGTCTGTATATATATATACAACCCACCAAATTGATTACATATGCTTTAGACTGATTCATGAAAAATGAGTTYCAAATTCAATTATATAGAAGGTCTGTTGTCGCCGGTTTCCAAACATACGAGATCATAAGAAGCGGCGCAGATAAGGATGGCACAGAATAACCAGCTACATACATAWAACGCTAAGCAGGGGCAATTACCCAAACTAATTAAAGGTTAGCCTCGCATGATCTGCGCCACCTAAAAGATCCATAAAAAGATCCATGAAAACTCGTACCTTATARTATGTTCCTTTAAAACAGGCAAATTTGATTGCAGCACCAAATGRTGGGGATTTGAAACGGCCATCATGGTTAAGGAAAATACTTCTTCAACTTGCGCGACGATGTCAGTCAAACCAAGCGAAAGTAATACGTATACTAAACAGACTTTTCGAATGAATGAGACAGATCCTCTAGAGAAGTCTGACAGTTGTCGCCAATAAGGTTCAATGAAACCTTACACTGTGGTTAAGGTACTCAACCAGTTTAACTCAATACTGTTCTTATCCGTGTTAGTTGGCGTTTGCAATCAGAATCAAGGACGTGTGTGTTTTTTTTTTTTTTTTTTCTTGTTTAGGGAGTTCCGGCGACGATCGTCTGTGGTTGATCTTTCCGAAGCAAAATGATGTTTTCAACACGTGCATTAACGGACGTCCGAAAAACTCCTGTTCCTCCTGAAGGAATAAAAAAATGTGCTCCAATTTTGAGTTGATGATAACCTTAAAGCGTAGGAAAAAACAAAGGAGCGAAGAAGTGAACTCCAGTTGTGAGTCGAAGTCTTTTCCGAATAATGTAATTACTTAGCCAAAAATTGGTATTTTGAATTGAACAAGATTGATTGACGTATTAACGAAATTTAATTGCGTGTAAAGACAACCTAATGAATAGCAGAGGAGGCACGTGCGGCTAAAAAGCGACAATATTTGAAACATCTCAAAAACGCCATCCATTCCGCAGGTACTTATAGACCTAGCAGACTATGTTAACGTATATTTACAAGTGTCTGTGCTTAGTCAATGAATGCCATACATAGTATTTATTCTACATACATCGTTCAGATCAAATTGACAAATTCCAAACTTTTTTTTGGTACTGGATGCTAGTGGAGTTTTGGCCCACACAAGCTGATGAAAAAGTTTTGATTGACAGAACACGGAAATTAAATTTCCTTGTTTTACAAAAACAGCATTTCTAGAACAAAAAACTAAATGTTTTTATGAGTGAAATAAAACCAGGCGAATGCTTACACAGCTAAGATTCAGCCAATCAGGGCCGTTGCTACATTTCCATAACGGTGCCAGACCCCTGCCGTCGTTGCTACCAGTTTGGCACACTATTCAAATGCTCGCTAGGCCATCGCCCAGAAAATTCTAAAATCGTGCTTGTCCAAATAAGATGACCTAAGAATCTTCTAATTTGGATGTATCGAATAGACAGATAATGCAATAATATGCATGGCCGGATATCGACCACGACTTTGATTATTGTTAATACTTTAGCCTGCGTAGCGGCTCTCTAGGGGATTGGGGAAGGGGGAGGAGAGAGCTCCCTCTCTCTCTCTCTCTCTTTCCCCCTCCCCTTTACCCTTCCCCAGGCYCATTTAAAGCGTCGCTACGCAGGCTAATGATGCTTCAGCTTATTTCTCCGACATCCATTAGTTACCGTTTCTATGTCCCAAAAGCTCATGAAATGACAGACAATATCTCACATAACATCGATTGACATAAAGACTTCACCATTTTCAAGGAATTCGTCAGTGTCCAATTCAACTGGTCAGTTTYGCGTAGAAAGAATATGTTATCGACACAATGCAGGTTCTTTTCTTGATGTTCGTCGTGCCAGTGATCACGATTCCGCATAATATAGACGTCATTTTGACGTTAATTCATAYGTTGTATATACTAACGTACCAACATCAATAACCAATGGGTTTTTGAAACCAAGGCTAGGGGTCACTTTTAATAAATCCTATTTGAATGTAATTGTATACATAGCTCTAGTGTTTACAAGTAGATAAGAAAACTTAACTAACTGCATTGATGACCAGTAAAATACCTTTTAAGGAACACAAGGTAGTGTGGCTCATTTTAAAAATTTGGCCATATTTTTAACCAAGGGTTAAACGCTGTGACGTCATCAGTTTGTCGGCTTTGTGTTTGTTGGCCCTYGAACATTCTTGTTCAATTCTTGTTGTTGTTCAGGAGGTTAAGRAAAAAAACTGGCTTAAAGTTTCCAACGCCTATTTTCGCCCCCTAAACGGTCCCATAATGCACGGCAATGCAAATCGATTTCGCAATTRGCTTATCACGTGGTCTGTACCACAGGCAACAAAGAATGTTATTATTTAAATATAGACAATTGACGTACCGCTGGTTTTCAATCATCCTCATCCAAAAACAGATTTTGAAAATGGTGGCCAATGAAGTTGGACATYTATCTTTTGTTTCCTGTGCATGCCTCGAATACTTTACCAGCTTTCTAGTGCTAGATTTGAATACTTATTAAATATAACTTATATATAATGTTTGCGTAGCCATAGCCATASACGAAGTCCATAGAAAGTCCATTCAAATCATAAAAACGCTGACCATTATCAACCGATTTGTCCATTATTGCTTTTTAGCTAAAAGTGTTACTTACTCGACGCTGACTGCCTGTGTTTCACCATTCTCCATCAAAGTWGGCAATAACTCGCAAACGTTTCTTCTGATTACTGGTATACGAGGACCACTGTGTTTTCTCTCACCACTTTGTCCTTTGGGCTTCCTGTGCTCTTCTTTTAATGAGACTTGAAAGTTCTGCATTGTGAATGGCTGTTTGTCGGCAACCAGTCAAGTGTATGTGCCAACGTTTCCTCAAAGCTTGGTAACCAAGCACTTTGGTTTCTCTGCTGATTKATTTGACAAATGTTCCTTACTTGACTTAGAAATCTCTGAAATAAATTGAAGAAAAAATATATAATTAGTAGGATTTGAAATAGAATTAGCTATTGAATAAATCGAGAGATTTTCATCAAAATATTTTTATGAATAATAAAAAAACCCAAAGTTCTTGTTTTTTTCTTTCTTTTCTTCTAATTTTGGCCTTTTCGTTTCTCTCCTTTCCTTCCCTTTTTTTT